AAAATCTGGACATATACCATTAACAGAAGGTGAATTAATTGATGCACGTAATAAACGTTTAAATGAAATTAAAATGTGGGATATTATAAGAGAATTATTAGCATATTCATCATTTTTATGGATACTTTATGTTGTTAGTTATTCAAATCGTGATCCTAATGCATATTTTATTGTCAAACATTTAAAACAAGATCTACTTGATTTAAATAGTGCAACAAATGATTATACACAGGTACATATATTTTGAAAAAAAAAAATTATTTCAAGATTCAGTAGATGATACTTCATTGAAATTAGCACTTGAATTGGAAAGTGAGAGCAGTATTATAATATTAATGATTTTCTTTGTTGACAAAGGAATCATCCGAAAGTATTATTCAGCATTTAAGCTCATATTAAGACTACAATAGTGTCTTGGTGAGACTAGCAAACAGTGGAATTGACAAAGAATCTTTTTTATCTGTGAGCAATTGACCAATGGGCAGTGTAGGCTGAATCAAACCAAACTTTATTGATTTGAGTTCAGTTCATTTTCAATCTCTGTGATCCATGGTTGGACACATTAGTGTTATCAAAAATCTAAAAGAGCTCATGTCCATGGATCGATTTAATAATCCATAGAGTATCCTGAAAGTATCAGCAGAAAAAAAATCCTTCTTTTTTCTTTGTTGATATGTTGAATTTCAAGTAAATTTAATTGTTGTATCATACCGTTTACTCGTAAATCATTTATCTAAGTAAACAATCGTAAATTAAAATGATTTCTGACTTTGAAAAAAGACAGACATTTCAGAACAATCTAGTTAACAAAATTTTTCTCATTCAATTTGTAACTATTTATATGTTTCTTGCATTTAAGATTTATCATTTCAATCAATATTGGGACTGGTTAAGAACATCCTTCGTACCACATATTCGAGCTTCTAAATGGTATAATGATGCACCACCGACTAATCTAACAGGTAAATACATAATTGATATTATATGATTAATATTTTCTTTATTTCTTTTAGGTTATATTAATGATAAAACAAATCGTATTCTCGGTTGGGCAACAATGCGTCAATTACGTGTAAAACCTAGTAAATATTTAAATTCATTTTCTTTTCTTTTTTCATATTTCAATATTTTTCAATTAAATTTATTTTAGATTCATGTACAATTGTCTCATCATTTCAAAATATAAGTTCATCATGTGAAGCAGGATATAGTACTTTTAATGAAGATCAACGTTCATTTAATCCTGGTTGGACATCAGTTTATAATTCAACTATTGGTTATATTGGAAATTATTCACTATCAATAAGAAAAGCATTTATGTATAATAAAAGTCAATCTCTTGATACATATGCATATGTTGGTGAACATGCAACATATAGTGGAGGTGGTTATGTATATGAATTTCGTGGAAAAATGCATGATATGATATCAAATATATCATTATTACAACAATTATCATGGATTGATATGCAAACACGAGCAGTTATTATACAAATGAGTTTATATAATCCGAATGTAAATTTATTTATATTTGTTACTATTATTGCGGAATTTTTACCAACAGGTGGTATTTATCCATCAGCACGTGTTGAACCAATATCATTATTGAATAATTTTCAAGGTATGAATGATTATGAATAACAGAAAACAAAGGACTATAACAGTAAAAATTTTTCTATTTTTATTTAGGTTTTGCTTTATTTAAATTAATTTGTGGAATTCTTTATATGATATTTATAATTTATTATATGCAACGTGAAATTCGTTCACTATTCAATCATCGTATGAAATATTTTCGTGATTTTTGGTCATACCCAGAAATTGGTATAATAGCATGTTCATGGGCTGGTCTATTTATATATTTATGGCGTATTCGTGAAGGTAATCGTATTAGTGATTTATTTAAAGAAACAAATGGTTATGCATATGTTAATTTACAATTAGCATCATATGTTAATGATCTATTAACATTTTTATTAGGTTTTTGTTGTTTTTTTGGTACAGTTAAATTTCTACGTTTATTAAGATTTAATCAACGTATGTCAATGTTATCATCAACATTAATGTATGCAGCTAAAGATTTAATATCATTTTCTTTCATGTTTTCAATTGTTTATTTCGGTTATTTGACATTATTTTTTCTTTTATTTCATTCAAAACTTTTGGAATGTTCAAATCCTTTAAGTACAGCACAAATGTTATTTGAAATGATGTTATTAAAATTTGATGTTTCGGATTTATATGCGGCTGATATATTTCTTGGACCATTTTGTTTTACATTATTCATAGTATTTGTAGTTTTTATTTGTATGAATATGGTATGTATATTATATACATGAAATAGGTTTAGAATCTTCAAAAACCTAAACTAAAATTAATTTAGAATATTGCGAATTGAAAATGAAATTCTTCTTGTTTTTTTTTCCTTTATTTTAGTTTATTTCGATTATAGCAGATTCATTTCGAGTTGTTCGACATAATATTTCATTACAAAACAGTGAACATGAAATTGTTGATTTTATGGTTAATCAAATGAAGAAATGGACAGGTAAAGATATTCATTGTTAAATTGTATGATTTTATTTCTTTCGTTTGTTTTTTTAAATTAACTTTAGGTATTGGTAGACCCAAAGGAATCGATCGTCTTCATTTAAATCCATTTGATGGTACTCGTGTTCATTATCATGATCCTATAACATCATTTCCTGATAAAATGGATGAACTATTAATTGCATTGAATAAAGTAAAAAAAGAATTGCTTCGTTTTTTTTTTTATGAATTTAATTTTGTATATTTAATATTTATTAGGTTTATATGGATACAAAACGTAATGATACATTAATGTTTCGTCCAATGAGTAATAATACATCCGAAATAATTGAAAAAACAAATATTATATTAGATAATACTGATAAAAATTTCAAAAACTAAAACAATTATAAAATTTGATGTTTTCTATTGTTTGTATATGTGATTATTATTATTACTGTTGTGATTTTCGTATTGTGCGTTGAAAATTTTTATTTTTCTCATCAATGTTAAGTATCTTGTGAAAAAGACAAGCTGTATAATCAGATGTGTATAAAGAGAAAGAATGATTAATAACTTGTGAATTCTATCAATCTGTATTTATTTCTTGGTACATGTCAAAATCAATGTTCTATTGTCTAAGCAAAAGAGAAATAAATCTTATTTTTTTCAAATAGAAATCTCTCCAATGAACAAATACGAAGATCATTTATGCCTGTCAACCACCGTATTTTACCATTTCAAATGGCTCAATATAACGATCATATATCTTTATGATCATATACGGATCAATATGATTATATACGGAGAATGCGGAGACCATATGTATATGCAGCTTCCGTATACGACGAGAGTAAATGAGTATTTATTTTTTTTTCTCCGTAAATTATCGTATTTCTCCGTTATATGATCGTTATACTGAACTATGTATATCATCGCATTTATTACTATACAGTTGTTTATGACCGTATGTGTTTGATTTAAGCTCTGTCAGATGTCTATCAAACATTGTCATCGAGAGAAATAATATGAAGCGATAGAGACAATCGACGAGTTTTTGTTATTTTTATTGCAACTTATTTGTACAGACGGTGATGATGTAATGCATAATATAAATATTGATTTGTATTTTGAAGAGAAATTTGTACAACATGTATTTATATATAAATAAAATATATAAATATACTGATCTATAATGAATTCTTTGTTTTTTTCATCATCTTCTATATGTTAGATATTTGTGATCAATCATAATATCTGATGCCTGCTTTTAATGAATATATATATGTATATATTTCGTAGGAGTATATTACGATTGTTTTATCAACAGTAAAAACTTTTGATTGATTGAGAATGTCTTTAGAACACATGAATAGTTGATGAAATTTATAATTATAAAAATGCAATTGCTACTGTAACATTTGAATATTCAATATAGACATCGTAATTCTTCAATATAGACATCTTTCAAAAAGAATATCCAGCTAATTATATTTGAAAAGACTTTCTTTCAAACATTATATTTATTCTATAGGAAAATGCCTCTTCGTGACATATATATATAGTCTGATCATAATCGAATCTAGTTTCTTTTTTGTGCTACAATTATCTTCTTCTAAAAATATAATGAATATAAAAGAGTCTAATTTTCTTCTTGAATAAAAACTAGGATCAGATAGAATAGTAAATAACTGATCAAAGTAGTGAATAGCGGCTACTGTTATTACACAGCATCATAAAATAAAAGACATATGATTGAAAAAAAGGTCAGCTCTCGTCTATAGTAATCAAATAGTTTGTGGAATAATTAAAAAAACGTTGTCTGTTTTTCATGTTGGTGCAAGCTACCTCCCACTACTGTAGTCAGTCAGAAAGAACGAAAGAATTTTTTGATCCATTTAACATGACCGAGTGTCCTTTTTAAACGTCCTATTGACCGATGAATGGTAAAACATCTGTTACTTCTCTGGCTAATTAACTATAGTTCAATGGATTCTACTATGTGCGACATCTATTTTATTTCTATTAGTTATTTCGATTATTTTAAGATTAAAACTCTAAGATTTTTTTTTGAATCTAAATCGTTCGTGAACATCTTTCTTTTTCTTATCTTGTATTATTTATTTTTAATTTATATTTTATAGTAAAAGATAACTGTTTATACTAATTAAGAAGGTTCAATTGTCTCTATTATGGCTATGGTTAATCTATTGTTTTTTTCTCTATGTCAAATAATCAGTTCGTTATCTTCTTCGAGCTTCTCTATCAACACCTATAAATTTAATCATTCAATATTTTTTTTTTCTCAATTACCTTTGCGTGTATATTGTTTCATATGAAATAGATATTATTTATAACGACAGTCCCTAGAGAACTAAGAAAATAGAACGGAAATATAATCCATGTGATTCATTAAACTTTTTTTTTTTTACAGATCATTTCTTCAGGCCTACAACAGATTCTTCTTCATAATGTCGAATTTTTCTAAAGATCAACCATCAATTCGGTAGATAATTTTTATTTCAAAAATTAATTTTTCTATTAAATATTTTCTTTAGTGTCCATGCACCACCAGGTGGTCGTAGTACTAATATATTTGGTATACCTGAACCTGAAGCACCTATGCCAACAAAAAAAAATCATATGGAATCAGATATATTTGGTTGTAAAAAGGATAATACTGATTTCGTACCTGTTAAGTAAAGTGAAAAATAAATTAAATCTATACAAAATTTCATCTATTTTAATTAAATAGACAAACACGTAATATAACAAATAATATTTTTGGAAATCAACCTGAACAACCAATTCAAAAATCGAACATCTATTCTGAGAAAAATAAATCAACTATATTTGATGAAGCACCACCTCAACAACCATCAAATAAACCTGATCGTCAACGATCAAATATATTTGCTACAGATGAACCTGTACAATCAACAACAACAGCAACACGTCCAGTTTCGGAAAAATATAAATCAAGTATATTTGGTAATAATGATTATGATATACAAAATAAACGTCAACCAGGTACACGACAAGGTCTACGAGGTAGGTTACAACAAACAAATAATTATCAAGATAGTTATCGACCATCTATTGCCATAAGTCTTTATTCACCATTGAGATTAAAAGGTAGCATTTATAAATAACAACAGCAAAAAAATTAATTCATATGCATTATGTTTCTATTCTGCATTTTATTTTTGTATATTATATAAATTTTATTTAGATCCAAATGCATCACGCAGTGAGTCTGCTAATTATATTTTTTTGTGTTATACATGTTTTTTTTTAATTTTGAACTAAAAAAAAAAGAAAAGAATTCATGAAAACAAAAAAAAACGAGATTTCATTTTCATTTCTAACTTTTCTCTTTTATAGTGCGTGCTTATCGCTTTTTGTGAATTTATAAGAATATAGACAGAGATAGGTCCTGTTGGTATTTTCTTTTTACCTTTTGTGTTAGTGTATTTTCAACATTCAACACTAGAACAGTGTGTATCACTTACTAAATGAAATAACTTATTTGTTTTGTTTTGTTTTTCTTTATATTCTAAAAAAAAGAATCAATGTCGAATTTCAATGCATGATCCTTTTATTTAGACGTTTATCATTCGTCAAGCTTCAATCGTATTCGTGTAAATGCCTATTGCTTTGTTGTGTATTGTTACCCATTTGTCACCTGCTTTTGAGATATAACAATATATACATATAGTGAAATGAGATATGAAATTAAAAAGGAATAATTAACTTCCGTTTTTTTTCTTTTTATCTTGAACTTTGATAATTAATATTTACAAAAAACATTTTTATAATTTAATGCTTTACTGAACTTTTGCTTCAGAATGTGCTTCGTATTTTTTTTCTTTCTTACTCTTATATTATCGTATTTTGAATTGTTTGATTTATTTTATAGTGGGTTATAATCCAATAAATGGTGAACCTTATTCAATTAAAGATGGTTTAAATTCAAAAGTTGAACAAACAGGAACGACAGAAAATGAAAAAGAATCTGATGATACAAGTAAAATACCTGAAGAAAACAATAGCGAACAAGTAGAAAATGGAAATACTGATGTTACCGAAAATGGTAATACTGAAGGATCAAACGATAAACAAACCAATGGTCATTCTAATGGTACCAATGGACATACTACCACAAAAGTAAGACAAACAACATAAAATTTTTTTTTAATATTAGTACAGTGTTTTATTAAGATTTTCTCTTTTGGAAATGTTAACTCGTTATGTTCGATAATTCTGTTGTCTATGAGAAAAAGGATTAATTTTACTATGATAATGATATTTGAGTAAATATTGATGTAATCATTACACAATAATTTTCGTATAAATTTCTAGAATACATAACTTGTGAGAATATGACATTTGGCTCAAGTTTTATTTGATTATAAAAGATATCATTCTCTATGAAAAAATGTTGGTCCCCCCGTTTCGTCGAGATTAGAATTATCTTGCACCGGCCCTTTTGATTTTCCCACTGATGACTATCGTCAATGAAAAATGATAATGTTCGATGATGATTTCTACACCGTTTACCCGTCTGAAATATTAAATAATGTAGACAATTTTGTGTCCTGAGAACAATTTTTGTATTTCATTGACTTTTTCTAACTTTTGAAATAATAAAAATTATATATAAATTGATAAAGATAAATTTAATTGTTTATAACATTTTATTTTATTTTTTCTTAATAGGATCCGCATACAAGTGTTCGTGTTGCTCATCCACCAGGTGGTCGATCAAATGGTCCACTTTGGTAAAAGATCATTTTCCTAAATTAATTAATCGCCAAAGACGAACAAATACATTAATAATCGATGTTGTGTTGTGTATCAAACAGTTGTTTGGTTTTTTTTTTTTTATGTCATTATTCTTATTGCGTCATAATTTATATTATCTTATGGGTTTATCTGGTCTCTATCATCTAATCTAACAGCATGCTTCAGATATATCAATTCACGGTGTTTTTTTTTTCGTTTCGTGTTTTTTTTTTTCGTTTCATTGTCTCTTAGCGTGTGTTTGTTAATCAAATATTATCCATTTTGTCTGTAGTAGAGAATGAATGTAGCAAAGAAAAAAATATTCATTTTCTTCTGTTGTGCGATGATTCAATGATCTTCTTATCTTTTGTTGTCGTCTTGACTTATTTACGCGTGCATTTAAATCATAAAACAAGCAAGGAAAAGAAAAGAAAAGAGAAAGAAAACAAATAACAAAAAATTAATTGTGTAGGCTTTAAAAATGAATTCTTTCTCATACTTTAGATATGAACGGTCAACGACGTTAAGAAAGAAAGATAGACGAAGTTTGCGTCCTATTTCTTATCGCCGGTGACGAATGTACAAACGATAGATTGAATATATAAGAATGTAAGTGTTTAGTTCTATTCATACACAAGAGAGTTCTTCTTATATTGATAATCTAGCAAAAAAAAAAAAGAAATTATGATCACAAACGGTGCATTAGATGGTGAAATGTATGGAGTTTCACCATTTCAACAAGTAAAAGAAAATCTAAGATATCATCTTTTCTTTTGTTTAAATGAGAATTTCTTTTAGGGAAGAACATTTATGACACCACCACGTAATCCACCAGTTTATTATAATAATTCGAGTTATTCCCAACCATCTATGATGACACGGGATGGTACATTAAATAATGCCGGTAGTAGTGCTAATCCAAATAATGCTACTGGCTATTTATCTGATCTTCACTCACATTCAGTACAAAGCAAATTTTCACATGTGAGAATTTAAAACAAAAAAACAAATTCTTTTTTTTTTTTCGTTTATAATGGAAGAAGCTCGATTTTATGATAGAATATAAGTTCAATTGATTCTCTTGGCATCATCATATCATAAAGTATATTTGTTGATTTTTCTGGTCGTTTGCAAAATGAAAAACAAACACATGTTTATTGATACAGTTAATATCTGTAAAATGCTGCAATGCTTTTGCTTGGATTAGTAAATGATTTAATGAGTACATCAGTATAAATATTCTTTAGAAGTATTTTCTCAATATCACCATGCTTTAACTATTTTGAATTTATACAAGAATGTTTCACAAGTTTTGCTATCGAATGTAAAGCAAAAACAATATTAGATAAATAGTACTACGAGATCCCAATATGGCTAATTTTCACAAATAAACAGCAATCTATTTGTTGGGTTTAAGAGAAATAAATGATAGATCAGATTGAAATGCAGATATTTGAATAGGACTCTTTATTCGAATATATTACACAAAAACAAACAAAGTTTAGCGTGTTTTTGACTCAATTCTGATAAAGTAAAGTTTCCGTCAAAAAGAGTAAAACGTGGTTGAAACGAACTTTTGAATGTATATCATCAGAAAGAATGAACTCAGTCATTTCGTTCTTTTCGTACACGAATAGAAAACAAAATGTTGAATCGTTCTGAAAATAAAACAATTTTTATAAAGTAAATATGTTGGAGTTTCTCTGTATTATTTATTTAATATTTCTACTTATCATTTTGTAGTAAAACGTGTGTTACGCTCTTGAATCATGAGTCTCTTTCAAAATGATTAGGGCATGGTGATATTGAGAAAATAGTTAGAAGAATATTTATTCTGATGCATCTGTTATTTTCAAAGCTTATAAAAGAAAGTCCAAAAAAATAATGAAGTAATTTTAAAATAAGAAATAGTAAATAAATCAATGTATTGAAAAGAGGACTATAATTGAATATTACGACCCGCAGGACGGATATCGGTACTTATAGTTGAGTATGTATATGATAGTTAGTTTTCATAAAGTACTATTGAGATTGACTGATTAAAGCTTGAAGATATTTTACATGTCAGCTGCATTTGTAATTTGTTGTGTTTGTATTTTATGATTGTTTTTACTGTTATTATTTAATCTTCTTTTTTTATTTTGTTTCTAAATTAAAATAAAGAAAATAATACATATAGATTGCGAAATATTAATGTGAGTCGAGTACGAGAACAATGCAAATCTCAATGATATGAAAATTATCATTTCATGTTCTTTTTTGCTTCTCTTATGTATAATAATTTAATTTTTAGGCTAACAGTATGATGGGTACATCTCGCTTAGCTCATCTTGGTGTTAATGGACCCTTTAGTAGTCTTGGACCAGGTTCCAATCATGGTACGTCAATCTAATTAATATTTTTTGTTTGTTTGTTTAATATGAAAAACTTTTTTTTGTGCGTATATATTGCTTTGCTTCTGCATCTTTCAGTACGCAAAAGCTTACAAATGACAAGTATGCTTGTTTATATTGCTTTTGAAAAGAAAAAAAAAAAAAAACAGGAAAACAATCACGCATGTTTGATTTGTTGATTATTTTCTGCATGATGATATTTTTCTTTTTCGATAGATTTAAGTTTTATTTTGTATATTAAATTTTTTATTTAGTTGATGCAGCAGCCGTGGACAATAGTGCACGCATATCGCCAGAGAATAATCTTGATTTTTATGCTTATTCACAAGCGGCACCATACAGTGTAATTTTCGCAATTTTTACTTTATTTACTTAATTTTCTTTCGTTTTGTTGAAACGATATATGATTTTTATTTTTGTTTGTGTGTATATTATAAAAATATTATTGATTATATATATATAAATATACAGATGCAACAATTGACCGATGATGATCTACTTATTGGTGGTTCAAATCGTGATGAAAAAGAACGTACAATACCACCTGATATGCCATCTGTTCGACAAGCACGATCTGATTTTGCATATTTTATGAGTGATGAATTGAGGTAATATTTGTTCAAAATAGGAAAAAAAAACCAAGATCTTTTTACTTTTGTTTCTCTTAGAGCTGAATTATTTAGGCGTAATCAGATGTTAATGGCATGTGCAAATCTTGATGTAGCAGGAGGTAAGACAGATAAAAAGAGTTTTGTTCTAAAGAGGTTGAAAAAGGAAAAATATCGAAAAGTTTAACTAATAAGAGATTCTTTATTTTTGGCATAATACTAACATTTTAACATAGATCATATTTTCGTTGAGTAAGTGTAAATAAAAAAACATCTAAATATTCTATGACATTTATAAGATCATTGAACAGCAATCGTTTGAGCACGAAGAAGCAAGTCAAACCACTTTTTGAGTTGAGCCTGAGTTATTTTGCAGTAGTTTTTAGTCATATCATGACATCTTGTTTCTTGTGGTTATACATTAAAATAAAATAAGAACAGCAAAACACCACTTTCTTTTTGAAAAATAAACAAAACCTCAACTTAAAGTTATTTACAAGCAAAAAGTATTTTATGAACATTTCAATTAATGTATTATTGTACTTCAAAAAATGTTAAAATGTATTAGCTTGTACAAAATTTTGAACAATGCAAATGCATTAAAAGACTGCTTTGAGAAAATAGACGTTCAACTAATACTGATGTAGCAGGAGCACACATATGATTTATCAAGCAAGGTTATTAAGATATTAATATAGATTATGATCACTGGTTAAATTTTCTTTCTGCAGGAAACTATCAATTTCTTTGGAAACTGATTTTGATGTTGAATTACTTTCTTGACTGAATGAATGATTCGAGTCAACGGCACTCAACTTTCGAGTTCGAGTTATGACTCGAACTCATCCATCTGTTTATTTGCTCTAGCATTGAATATGGAGTTTGGATACCGAGAAAAGTTACATTCATATTTTCATTTCGATGTTTCTACGATTAATCGAAGAAAATATCAATATCACAGATCAAATTTTTTAAATTTTATTCATTTAAGCTATGCCTGAACGCGTTGGTGATTATTATAATTTAATGCCACTTGATAGTAGTCAAGCAAATGTTCCACATAAATCACGTACATTTCGTTATCAAACAATAAGTTATAAAGCAACACATATACGAACTAATGCTGTATGTTATTTAAAAAGAATAATGGGTATAAAATATAACAAAAAAAAATTATTCTTTTCTTTTTCTTTTTTTCTAATAATTCTAAATATTTTCTTTTTATGTATTTATATAATAAAGGATGTAAATTACCAACAGCACGACTTTATGATGTTGTTGAAGCATGGAAAAAAATCGTTCATGCCAATATTGTACAATTACGTGACGTTTTTTTAACGAAAGATTTTGACGATGAACAACCTTGTATTTATTTTTTTTTCGTTATTTTTTTTTTTTTGTATTTTTAAAATATCTTTATGTTAAATATTTCTAGCTATTGTTTTCGTCTATGATTTTATACCATGTTGTGAAACATTACAAAAACGACATTTTAGTTCAAATGTTAGTCAACTTAAAGGTTGGGCTAATCCATATAATCTATCTGGTGAAGATCGTCCATTTAGTGCTGGCAAAGGTATATGAAAGATAATTTTATGATTTATATCTTTATATATATATACGAATTTTTATTTAAGGAACAAGTCATACAGGTTTACTAGCTGAATCACTTATATGGGAATATGTTGTACAGATATCATCATTAATTCGAACATTACATGGAGTACCACTTGCTTGTCGATGTTTAAATTTATCAAGAATACTTGTTGATGGTGATTCAAAAGGAGGACGCGGAAAATCTAGGTATATAACATATCTAAACAAAAAAAAACAACAAAAGGATTATGAAAAATAAAAGTCAATCTAAATATGTATTACATGAAGCAAATAAAATTGTGCTATCTTATATAAAAAGTAGTCTATGTAATCATATAGATTGAAAAGATTACATGTTAAGTGTTTTTTTTTAAACCTACTAATACGTATAACTCTCTTAATTTTGTTATCATTATCATGTATAGATAGATGAGTTTTCTTTATTGTAATAAATCATTAACTATTATATTTTTGTATTTCTAGAGTATGGCTTAGTGGTGTAGGTATTGCTGATATTCTTGATGGAACTATTAATGGAATTGTTCATCAACATATAGTAAAATAATCCATTATTATTTTTGATTTAAATATTATATACTGTTTTCTAGTTAAATGATTTACAAGATTTTGGTCGTTTAATATTAATGTTAGCATGTAACTCGATTGTAGGTGCACAAAAAGAACATTTACAAACATCATTAGATATAGTTCAACGAAATTATTCACATGATCTTAAAAATCTTATTTTGTAAGATATTTCTAATAAAAGCTAATATACAGGATGATTTAAAAGTCGTTCGATAGCCTTTGTTGATGTACAATATTTGATAAGTATTAGATAGAAAGTTGCTGATTTCACTGTTTCATCTTGTTGTGTATTTCAACAATGTCGGTTGATGATCACATTGTCATTGAATAGGCTTAGGAAAAAAAATATCGATAACTCTATGAAAATTTCATGAAAGTTTAGTTATGAAGAAAAGTCCTAGATCCATGGACTTGCGGTCTACACCCATATCAGAAGGTTCTATCATTAGCCGACATTGTTGAATCATATAGTGACACAACCTCTTTTGAATGGTGAAAGTCGCAGCTCTTCATCTGGTTCCTATCAAAAGTTCTTCATAATCAGAAACTGTCCGATAATTTCTGAATCAATCTATAGACTTTTATGTTTTGTATTTATTTGTTTTCTTTTTAGACATTTCTTACTACCATCGAATACATCAAAGCCAAAAACTATTAATGAATGTATGCCAATGATTGGTGCACGTTTTTATGCACAAATTGATAATTTACATGTACGTGGTGATATTCTTGAAAATGAATTGGCTAAAGTAAGTCAATTAAATAAATTATTTCATAAAAACAATAAGAAATGTATAAATTTTCGTTAAAAATGGTTTTTTTTTTCAATATTTAGGAGCTTGACTGTGGTCGTTTGTTTCGTTTGATTTGTAAACTCGATGCACTTCTTGAACGACCAGAGTAAAAAAAAAAGCATTTTTATTTGTTTGATATATTTTTAAATCAACATTAAATTTTAGACATTCAATGAATCAAGTTTGGTCCGAAACAGGTGATCGTTATATTTTGAAATTATTTCGTGATTTTGTATTTCATGCAGTTGGTTTCGATGGTGAACCAATTATTGATATAGCACACATTGTTCAATGTTTAAATAAAGTAAAAACAAAATTTTTAAATTAAACATTTTCCTATGTTTTAAATATTTATTTATTTTTTCAGTTCGACGCAGGTTCACATGATAAAATCTGTCTTACATCACGAGATGAGCAAAATGTTATTATTGTTAGTTATTCTGAATTACATCAAGCTTTCGAACGTGCTTTTACTGAATTAATGAATTATGGATCGACAGGATCATCTTGAATATTCAAAATGAAAAGAAAACCAAAAGATCTGTTTGTTAGAAAGAAAATCTTTATTATCATTTATAATTCATTCTTAAATGTATATATAAAAAATTTTCTTTCTTTCATCTTTTTTTTTCACCTTATTTGTAATGTATAAAGAAAATTCTACAACACGTATTTTTCTTTTTCTTTTTTTCTTTTTTCAACGTCGTTCGTTAGTTGTTATTTTCTTGATTATAACTATCATATTATTAAAAACCAACCAACTAATGTTCACTTTTGTGCGTCTAGATGATAGAAGCTTGTATTGTCTGTTTTAACCTTCTATTAAAAAAAAAATTATCAAGCATCGGTGTAGTTCTTTTTTTTTTTTGTTCAATGTGTAACATTCAATTTTTTTTTCTTTAACAAACTATATAAAAAGAAAAGAAAAAAACTAAATAACGCATACATTGCCGTCGAAAATATGTTCAAACACTATGTGACATTGTTGATTAAAAAAAAAGCGAATGTTATTACGGATGATTCATAGAGGACGTCCAAATACTTATTATTAAATATTTTTCACACAACTTTCGATGAAAATTTGAAGTTTAAGTTATTTCGAAGTACATTTTTACATAGAAATGAATTGAATAAAGTATTTAAGTATAAAAATATACCATCGAAATAATTGAAGATAATCTACAATGAAAATTTTATCGATGTGATTTTTATTTGAGCGTCTTTTATGGATGACTTCGTATTTAAAAAAATGGTTAAGAGAAAATAAAATGCCATTTGCACCCTATTTATTGAAGAAGAAGAGAAGAAAAAAAAACGTATTGTATTTTTTTTTCTTTTTTCTGAAATATGAGAAAAAAAAACCTATAGGACATAGCAACATCAATAACAACAATGATTACTAAACGTTTCTTTTTTATTACGCTACACAACATTTTTATTCAACAATAAGAATTAGTTTTCTATCATGACACAATTTGGAACAACAGATTCAGCTAGTCATCTTAATCGTATTCTTCCAATACCACATACTCCATCGTATATTGGTCGGTTAGTAATACAGAAAAAAAAAGACGAAAAAAGGAATTCTAATTATTTAAAAAAATATATCAAATATTTGCTAAAATGAAATTTTTAGTCATCCAATTTATCCAAAAGCAAGTCCAGATATAACAACACGAATATATAATCCAATATTTTCAACACGTTGGCAAAAGTCATCGGATAATTATGCTGAAAAGAGTCGAGATTATCATTGTGCTACATATACATATCTTGGACCGGAATGGTTTAAAGCACCACCTAAACATTATCAAACATACAAAGAACCTCTTCATCTACCAGGAGGAAGTTCAACTGTATGTTATTTTTGACTATTTACTCGAATGGTTGAATTTCTTTTTCTATGCATTTAGAATAATCGACCACAAAGTGTTCCAAATCAAACTTCGTAAAAATTATTTACATATAGTTTCAAAAAAAAAAATAGAATTTCTTTTTTTTTTTTTGTTAATTTTTCTATTAGGCGATCAAATGATAATTGGTCACAATTTCTTAATGAATATCCTGGTCGTTTTAAAATTGAATATGCATCACCTGATGATGTTAATGATTTATGCTTTAAAAATAATCATGTTCATTATGATGCGAGTGTTGTTCATCGACCAACTCGCTATGCTGTATGTTTTTCATATAATTTAATCATAAAAAAAAACTTATTTCATTTTGCTTTCTCATTTTAGTTTCAAACTGATAAAGAACCACTTACACTTGCAACAGGAATACCAAATCGAATTGAACCTGTAATGTAAGTTAATCGAATATATCTTAATTGTTTTAGTTCTATTTCTTTGGTTTTTTTTTGTTTATTTAGAAATCCATTTCGACAATCGGATGCACAACATGCTCCTATGACAACACATTCATCATGGTTTCCTTATGGCAACACACCATGTCGATATCAAAATTTTGTTAGCCAAAATCCACGATTTTAATATCATTCATATGATTTATAATAACTGAAATAAATAATTGAAAAACTAAACTAAAAAAAAAAACAGAAAAATAAGTTCTTTCAAATGTAGATGTTTGCAATGAGTAGAAAAAGTTTATTAATATTTAGCGGATTATATTTTTTTCTTCTTAATTTACGGCAAAGAATATTGTCGAGTTATTATTTTGATTTTACGTATTAAACTTTCAAATAATATTATTCAAGTCTATTAGTTATATATAAACATATTCAAGTTTTGCTTAAATCTTATATTAGTATGTTAATTTTATTTGAAAGAAAAAAGTTTTTTTTTTCTAAAAATATTATTCATTCTATTTGTATTGAAACTAAACATATTCAAATAAAATTTGATTTATGACTAAAGTGAAAACATCTTAATTAATATAAAGTCATTCAAATTATATAGTATCGAATTGAAAAACATTTAAAACAATGAGTAATAAAATCGACAACTTTCAATAAATAGTCATTTTACATACTCCATAAAGTTTTCTATCAAATGCACTATGTGAAAAAATTTTCTAAAACAAAAACTGAACACGTTAGTTTTATGAAAATTCATTTTTTAACAGTACCATCTAAAAGAGTATAAAACTCTGAATAATATGAGGAATTGCCGAGTTTTTTAATAATTTTCTCTTGTAAAGATACAAGCAACAAAAACAGTTGGATTTTGTTAAACAATTACTTGAAAATGCATTTTTCTGGTAATGCTTGTAGATTCTTTAGAGAAAATAAAAATAATAAAAAAAATATGGCGGTCTCTCATATTATTCAGAATCTTGTGCTCTTGCATATGGTAATATTAAAAATGAAATCCCACACAGTCCGACTATGAAGCCTTGATAGATGTATAATAGAGTGCATCTGATATAGAACTTTATTGATTATGCAAATTACAATTCAGATTTGAGTTAGGTACTTGACATCGTCAAACAAAAAGAATCCAAAATATTTTATTCTTATAATTACAAGTAATATTGTATAAAAAGCATGAAACAATCAATTTCAATATAACTTGATAATCTATAACAATCTGTTCAAAAGATTAATTGATATGATCTGTTATTTCAAACAATCGACATTTGAAACATTCACGAATTCTTATGAATGTTAATTACAACAACAAAAAACTTATAATCCATTATCGTTCATATCATTATGAATGAATTAATTTTTACATATGGTAGAAGAAATAAATAACATCTTTGTTTTCTGATTACGTAGTTGTAGACTTCTTTTTTTTTTCTGTCGTATACATTGATTTATCCATATCTCATATGTATAATGAAGAGTACAAACAGTTGGAGGGCGTCGAATAGAAAAAGGTTGTTGTGTTCGGTATCATCATTTTTATCCCTCCTGCTGTTGTCGATTCTGCTATTGAAAGAATAAGAAAAAGAAGAAGTAATAGTAGAGATAGACAATGATTATACCAAGCTGTATAGATAGATTTTCTAATGGAAAAAAAACGGCATTCTCTCATCGCCTTGTTGACTCGCGAGAGCAATTCCATACGCGTCGAAGAGCAGAGAAATATTATTTATACATTGTTTATGTTTATACATGTCTATGGATTGCTATTTTATCGTTAGAATAGATTCTCTCTACATGAACAAATGAGAATCATCATCATCATCTCAGAATGGACAAGAAGAAGAGAAAAAAAAGAAAAGAAAGATAGCTAACTGTATAATATCTATCTTCTTCATAGAACGATCGTATTTTGATGATTGGTTCTTGTCTTTCACCCTTCGTTTTCTTTTTTTTTCCTACTATAACTCATATCGCCTACATACTTGTATATGGAGTATCCTCTAGTGATGAATTAGTCGATCTCTTATTTTCTCGTTTTCCAAACATTTTGTATACACATATATCATTCATACAGCTAGACAAACAAGACGTTATTTTAAGAATACTAGAGAAGGCGTTTTTCTTCTAATTGATATTTTATTCAATTTCTTTTCTTTTTCTTCGTCTTTTTTCTTTTTTTATTTTGTAAAAGTGCTAGACGATTGAAATAATTTGTTTTTTTTATTTGGAAGCACTAGTATTATTACATTTACCTTGTTCTGTTCTTTCATTTTCTATCGTTCTTTATGTGACTTTTTAAAAGTAACACAGAAGGAGAGAGAAAGAGAGTGATATAGTTTTGTTGACATATTTGAAGAAAAAAAAAAGAAAAATTTATTTTCTATTTCATTTTCATTCAAGTATTTACATCGTCATCGTCCATGTCATTACATAAAGATACAACATTTACAAGTAAGAATTCAAACATCAATATATGATGTACAAAAAGAAAAAAGGATTATTGTTTTAACTTTTGATAGAAATTTTTGTTGGTGGTTTACCTTATCATACAACAGATGATACATTACGAAAATTTTTTGAACGTTTTGGTGAAATTGAAGAAGCAGTTGTAAGTATTTTTTTTTTGTTTTAAATTTCAAGAAATTTTATATAATTTATTATTCTTTTTTTAATAAAAGGTTATTACTGATCGACAAACAGGCAAATCACGTGGTTATGGATTTGTAAGTAGACAAAGATTGATTATGAGCATGCGTATATGTATATATATATATATATATATATATTCATGAATGAATATGCTAGTTTCCTGTCTTAAAAGATAATTGCTGTCTTTTCTTATCATTGGCGTGCCATCAATCAGTAAAGGAATCTAAGCATGTCTGCTACTAATATGAATGTACTTATGTTTTTTTTCTACTTTGTACAAACAATTGTTTGATCATGAGCAAATATATAAAGATTTATTAGAGATTCGAATATATATATATATACATATATGTATGATTAGTAGAGAAAGGTCAAATGAAACCTTTCAAGATATTATTTTTTCATAGCAATTAACTTGTATTTTAAAGGTGACTATGAATACACAAGAAGCCGCAAGTCTAGCAACAAAAGAAGCCAATCCTGTTATTGATGGTCGAAAAGCAAATGTTAATTTAGCTTATCTTGGTGCTAAACCACGTGTAATACCATCACCAGCTGGTGAGTTAAGATTTAAATGTAACATTATTTTTTTTTAAATTTATCTATATTATTTTTTAATATCTAATTGCATAAAAAAAAGGTTTATATATATATATAATTATTAAATAATAATAATAAATGACTATCCTTTCTCTCTCCTCATTAATTGTAGTACGAGCAGCATGAGAAAAAAATAACTAAACTAGACAGTAAGTGGATGCTCTGGATGACGCTGCCGTTTGTTTGACTGAGCACGAATTTGTGCCAGTTACTTGATGTTTTATTTTTTGTATATTCTTTTTGTTTTTCTTAACCCAATACGTTAAATTATAATACATTAACTAAAAACTCTATTTATATATGTACGATAACAACCATACCCACACCATTGTGGCATGGAATCTTTCTCTTTTTTCTGTATTTCGAGTGTTTGACATTAGTGTTGTTGTGGTGCTCACACACTCTCTCTCTTTTTTTTACTTCTTCTATGTCTGCGCCCGTGTGCTCGCTTTCGTGTGTGTGTGTCTTTTCTCAATGCTTTCATTTTTCATCTCATAGTTATTTGATCACATAGTAGCAGTATGAATGAGACAAACAGGAACAAATATAATAATGATGATATAAATTTATGTTCTTTTCTTTTCGTTTTGAGACAATTGAAATTTGATTCTTTATAAATAAATATTGAAATATACAAGAGACGATAACAAATTTCTAACAGCGTGTTTGCGTGATTTGTATGCCTTTAGAATTTCACATCGATTGTTGTTGTTGTTGTTGTTGCTGTTATTTCTTGTCTCTTGGTTGCAGTAATCGATTTGATTGATTGATTGATTTTTTTTTGTTGTTGTTGTCTTTTTAAACCAACATACGAATATTATGATCAATTAAAATTTAATTTATTAATTTATAAATATTTCTCTTTTCATTATTATAGGTCTTATCCCACTTCATCTTGCCGGCGCTTATTCAGCAGCATTACCAACAACTTATGGGTGAGTTGATTTCAATTTTTTTTTTCTCTCTTACTTCAGTTTTACGTATAGACGAGTGAATCCCCTGTAGAGAAATCAAATCAATCTTGAAGTTAAAGAAGAGAAAGAAAGAATGTTTATTTGAAAAACAGAACACCCAAGTAATCAAGCGAATCTGATGAAAGGCCACCCTCTGTGTATTGACGCACACATACGGTGCTGATGACGTGATTGTTCTCTCATGTTGAAATAGATTTCCTCTATCAAAATTAGATAGTTTAGATAAACAAAAGAAAAAAAAAGAAAAAAGTTTTTCTTTCAAATTCTATTCAAAGATAAGCTATTAAACACATGTCATGCATCTGAATAGTCATTTCTTTTAATTTTTTTTAGTATTCAACCAATTTATTATCAACAACCACCAACGACAACTCTATTAGCAACAACTACAACACCACAAACTCTTAGTACATTGATACCTAATCAAACAACAACTACATTAAATGGTGTACATACATCACAAAATCAAACCACAGGTGCACCATCCTATTATGAATTAACTTATGCTACAACCCCATTAACATCAGCATCTATTGAACAACCATCATATATATATGCGACAGCTCCTGGACAAACATTTTCTTATACACAATTACCGACTGGAGTTACTCAACAACAAACAGGTCCAACTAATCTCAATGATGTTTATACGAATCATACAGCGAAATATATGATTGATGATCATAGTGGATCTGTTGATCGTGATCATCATCAACGTGCAGCAGCCGGATGGTGATAAAAATAATTAGAAGAAATATGTGCAGGGAAAATGACGAAAACAATATGTCGAGATCATTAATGTTTTGTTTATCTTTTTCTTTTCTTAATGTTCTGTTTTTCTTTCTTGTTTAAGTTTTTTTTTTTCATCAAAAAAAATCAAATCTAGCCGAACATTTTCTACTGTACAGTCACGAATTTTCGCTTGTTGACAATAAATCGAGAAAGCGAGTTTTATCTTTATCTCAACTATGAATATTTATTTCAAATACATATTTATTTGTTAATTTGAGTAATGATTATCAAACATGTTAAGTGTCATTTGAATTTGATGATAATAATAAAAAAGAAGCCGCTGTTAGGTTGTAAACAATTGCATATTGATTAATGAAGGACTACTTTGAAGATGAGTTTAGATGTAAATAATCTTAATGGTTCATTTCAAAATGAATTCATTTTTTTTTTATGTTTATTGATAATAAAACTAATTTTAAAGGTAAACAAGACAACATTAATGGACATTATTTCCACAAGTATGCATGACATTATATCAATACCGTGTTTTAGTCCTATTGTTTTTAATACAGGTCAAACAAACTTATTATACTCAGACATAATAAAAAGAATTTTTCTATCATAGTTTAGACGTCTCTTTTAGTTTATTTGATACTACAGGTGACTGTTACGCCATTTACGTTTGCAAATTTGGTTTCTATTTAGCTCAGATGTAAGAAATTTTAATTAGATATCTTGCATGTACTAGAACATCTATCACATAGTACGCGTGTTTTTGCTGTAACGACAATCTATACTTTGTATTGTGATATTCTACACAACGGCGAGTCGTTAGAATTTCGTTCGAGTTATGTCAAGGGAGATCCATGCCTCGAGATGATTCAAAAGATTTTGAGTATTAAATAGGATTTTGCGTACATCTTCAGTAAGTTCCGCAAACAGTAATTTTGATGATTTGGCTTCCATCTGTTACCCAAAATAATTCAGAGTGGTGAGCTAGTCTCCAGTCAACTATGTGAACAGGATCGGCTCTAGGCGAACTCATTTTTCGTTCTTATGTTAATTGAAACTTCTATTCAAATAGAGCATTTGATCATGTCCTATTTATTCAAGTGAGAGTTATTCATAATAATAAACTGTTTCTTTTTTTCGGTGTCGACCTCTTAGAACAGTTGAAAGATAATATAAATAGTTTCGAGCAAGTCGAAAAAGAAGTTGAAAATGAACTTGGTGTGACCATTCTAAGTTTACGATGTTATCATAAAAAAGGCAATGGAACTGTTCGAACTTTTCGGATGTTGGTTGATGACAGATACGCCTGATCATGCTCCATCTTAAGAGGTGTGGATGCGTCTGGGTGTGGGTGTGAGAATGTGTATGAGTCTTCACTTTTCCTACATCCACACCCTCCACCAGTTATCTCCTTTTTCATGTTGTAATTCGAATCGATGAGCCTTAAAGTAGCTCATAAGAAAAAGATCACAGCTACATGTTTATTACGGATTTGTTCATCTGATTTGAAGAAAAAAGAATTCATTACCGTCTGATGTAACAACACCAGAAGGTTCGGAAATGTTCTCTGAATATCCTAGCAGTGAATTGTTTGAGTTAAACCCTTTGAAGATGAGAGTAAAAGTTGCTGAATATTTAAAAGTCTATATTCTACAAAGTTCAATTTGATTCTATAGAACTGAGGTAACTTCCGACTGAACTGAAAGGTGCCCCAAAAGTTTCGACTCTTCGCTGTAAATTGATGTTACCTATATATAATATATATTGATAGAAAGTTTATTGAAATATACAGTTTTGTGGAGACTGAGAAGAGCTACCATCTTTAAACAAAATGGTTCAAAATGTTCTATAGTTATGAATAGTTCTGATTTTCATTTACAATGACTAAGCATTTTAAATCCAACATTTTTTTCAAAAACAAAAATTCTTTAATGTTTTTAGTTATTAAAGTCAACTGAAATATCATTTACTACATATTTTACTAGAAATTTTTACATAATTCGAGAAAGTTCGAAAAGCGACATAAGAATATGAATAACAAAACCAATTCTGCTTCTCTTTCCACTACAAAACTTGAAGAAAACTAGAAACATTAATAAAAATCTCAGATATCTTGCTTTCCGAGAGCATGCTTGATTTTCAATAATGTTAATTGATCCACTGTTAATTTATGTTTCGAGATGCAGTGTCACATAGTGAAGTCGATAATAACCTTTCTAAGTTTCATGAATGAACGGAGCAGTTGATGAGCTAAAATTACTGAAAATTCAACATGTTCTTCCAAATTCAAGATAAGTGAGATTTTAATTAATCTTTCTGATATCTTTCTAGTTTTGTATTGGAAACAGCATCGAAACATTTTTGATATCCATATTCTTGTATAGCTTGTCGAACTCTATCGAATCATAAAAGAAAACCTAGATCATTATATTTTGCTTCACGTGTCGCAAGCCTATTTTGTTTTTTGCAAAAAACGGAAGATGTAAAATGCTTAGTCAGCATAAATAAAATGATAAAAACTTTTCATAGCTATGACACAATTTCAATTATTCTTTTCAGATGATAGCTCTTCTCATTCTCAACAAAACTATATACTTCAATCAAGTACCTATCAATATATACTGTATATCGATTACATCAACTTACCAAGAAGCATCAAAAGTTTTCGGACATTCTTCAGCTTTATATGTATAGACAAACACAATCGATTTATTAATATTCTTGTAATGTTCTTCAATGAAATGAATTATACTATTCCATAGTTTTTGTTTCTTTGGAAGAGAACCTTGTTCAAGCCAGACTTATTTCAATTGAGAATTAAATTGTTTACGGTATCGATCCATTTGACATTCAGCTGATGAAAGAGATGATTGTATCATGTCTTCTTTTGTTGGTTGAGCAACGCTTCTATGTTGGTCATGTAATTTTCCTCGAATATTCTCCTTATTAATTATATTAAAGAATGTTTCTTCAGATAATTCACATGACAGAGAACAGTTTTGATTAGCTATTCGTTCTGTTAGTAAATTAAATTCGTCTTTAGTTATATCCTCTTGATATTTAGAATGACAAAGTTGTGCACATTTCATTGTTCAAAACTGCATTGATTGACAAAAAAAAACTTTTTTTTTCTATACTATAGTTTGAGTTCCACAACTCCATTTTGGTTTTCAGAAAGTAATTGACTTTCCTGAAAACTCGTATAAAATATTATATGGGAATATGTATGCTACAAAAGTACAAAGTATAGAAAACCTATGAAAAACTACCATACAAAAATAATTATTCAGTCTTGTTTTAATCACATCAAATCTAGTTGAGAAAATATAGCAAGAATTCTATGATGAATTTTGGCTTAATAAAAAAGTCTGATGTATATTTCATCATTGATACAGTCTTCGACACCCTTAAAAACAACTTTTGATTTGTGGAATAGAGCAGTTTTGTGCTCAAATATTTGAAAAAAAAAACAATGCAAAAACTAGAAAAATCCAGAACGAGTGATGAAGGAAAATGTATCTCTACCGGATCGCACCGGCCGTTTACCGTTACCTGTTACAATTCTAGGTGATAGGTTATGGGATCCAAATGTTATTTTATGATTATTATTATACATTTCATTAGATACAAATAATATACATAAAACTGCACTTATCTCACCATTCTAAAAAAATGTCGTGTTCATATCTGTCAAATTCTGGAAATCTTATGATATTATAAGATATAGTGTACAAAAAAGTCTTGTCCTACAGGACTCTACTCTGCAGTTAGATGATTCAGTTTCCGGTGAGGATGATGATTTCGATCAGTCATATACAACAAAAACAACTAGTGTAACATTGAAAGATTTTCGTTCAGATATAAAGGAACAGTTGGTCATAAAAATCGTTAATGGTGGATTACACGAGATGATCATATTTTTCTTGAATAATTTGCATCAGCTTACAAAAAAACAAATCTCATGATTTTTTCATAACTATTGCTGAACCTATTAGTATACCACAATATATAGAAAAATATAAAATATCAGTTTATTAAATTATATACATCAAGTTATAGAAAAGTAAAATTAGTATTACAATACAATCGATATTTTGTTGACAATTCTGTTCCTGATGTTTTAAAAAATATTCTAGATGAGTCACAAAGTCAAGAATATCGGTTATCACCAACAGAGAATAACATTGATATAAACACAATAATAGAAAAAATTTCAAATTTCTTATTTCTGCAACAGTTCTTACAAAAGAAATTACAGCAACATATGAACAAATATCTGATGATATACAAAGTGCATATGAAAACACCGATTGCGATAATGAAGATTTTTAAAAAAGGTTTCATTTGAGGTTATTCCAAATAAAATTGAACTTTTACGAAAACGATGTCAGGAATTAGAGTATCCATTGCTTGATGTATATGATTTTCATCATGATACGATTGTGAAAAATTTTAATATTTAACTTCTATAAATAATGCGATTTTACAATCTCATCAAGAAAAAAGTTTAAAGAAATATGTTTCATAATCGACGTATACGGTCTCGTTTAATTGTTCTTCCATTTAGTGTAGAAATATTTGTACTTGGTAGTATAACTACTACTTGTACAACAAATAAAAATTGTTTAGTAATGTATAATTCAAATGTATCTGTTCAGCAATAAAAACAACGATTCAAAATTTAGTTAACCGCTGATCATGCTCATACAAGATTGTGCCGTACAACATTAGTTAGAGAAGATAATAAAATAATTGATTTAAATTGTTTAAGTGAATCTGAATTATATGAAGCTAATTGGAAAAAATTGCACAATTTAGATCATATTGCTAAAGTTAAATCGGGTGAAGTGTGTTGTCGAATGACACCAGAATTTGATCAAGAATATGTATCAATTAATAATGATCAACATCGATATTCACTTTTGTGTGTCATAAATCCAAATAAATTTCGTACATGTGAATATTTAATAAGTAATCATGAACAATGTGATGATAAAATAATCGTTTTTTTCTGATAATATGTTAACTTAAAAAATTTATGCATATTTAACATGATCCAAACGTAAAAACAATTTTTGTTTTGAAAGTTACAAACACATGATTTGACTTGATGCGAATGTATTAATATAAATTTCAAGTCATGGAGGATCAAGAAGACAAGCAGAACAACGACTTGGCTGTGAAGTACGACCTAAAAAATGCTAAGATTTAGGAATATAATAGTTTTTCTATTCACTTCTTTCTTAAGATATTGTTGAAGTGTTTTATGTTATATTCAGCTAAACAACAAATTTTTCTTATAAATCAAGGTTATTCATACAAAGTCATAACAGAATTAGTTAATAAACAAGATAATCTATTCTTTCAAACACGAAAAAATCAATGGCGATTACTACATGAAATTCTAAAACAAACGGATCTAGATGAAGATAAAGAAGAGTACTATCTATAGTTCAAATGTTACTATCAATGACTTCTGTTCAACAACATGTTAAACCAACCAACAAAATCAAATATGAACTACTCAAAAAAAAAAGTATCGAAGAGAAATTCTCTGCAGTTTTCAAATATAGTAAAAAAATTAAAATCCCATTTTATCTGTTGAATCGTTACTTTTCTTTCTGAAAAACGTTGCGAATATTCTATGATAACCGGGAAAATTTTTGAACGATAAGAATACGCTCTCGTCATAAACATTATGTTGATAAGAAAGAAAGAAAGAGTGGTTCGATACCAATTCGAAGCTATCACATCTGCACGTATTATTTAGAACTATATGTCCTGGAGAAAATGAATGTAGCAGACGCACTTCTCATGGTCGATATAATGTTGGATAGAAATTCATTAGCATTTAGAAAAGGAATGTTGCTCTGGCAGGACAATGTTACCATCAACCCGCGAATTCTCGTCATTGCAACACGTTTTCGATCAGGTTTGATCATTTACCTCTTGGTAAGTTGTATTAAGCAACTCTTCTCGTGCACGTGCAGAGCACGACATCTTTCTTGTCTTTACACATCACATCTTTTTTTTCGTTCTGCACACTGTGTGGTGTGTAAGCACAGAACGCATATCGAGCTTTCTGTCAATTAGGTAAGTTATCGCTTCTCGGCCTTTTCGGCTAAGATCAAAGTGTAGTATCTGTTCTCGTCGGTTTGAAAGCCGGCGCTGGTCCCATTGGGGCCAGGCTCTTTCAAGCGGATTTTTGGACATCGGCCGGGACCCCGAGTTCACTCGGACCCGTGCCACGGATCGTCTCGACACTGCAGTGCCGTCGAGTTCGGTCCACTCCCGTTTCCTTCGGGAATCGGGAACCCTCTTTATTGAAAAAATTAAATGAAAACATTCCCAATAAAATAACGATGTGTATTCATCATTCACATTCTGATGCAACTGCTCTAATGATATTTCATAAGTTCGTTGTAGTATGATAACTAACATAAAACGAAACACATGATTGTTTTGTTTACTGATGAAATCAAGCGGACCAAGAAGAACAAAGAGAAACTAAAATTTCTAATGGTCCAGTACCTCTTGATTTGATAGAAATTTCAATAGTAAATAAGAGATGGCAGTACTGGTCGATAGAAAACATTATCATGAATAGTTTAAATAGAAAACAGCTGAATTATATTTGTAACTGGCACAGACAAATAATGTCGATAAGAAAATTTTTTCTTAATTCAAACTAAAGCTCATAGAAGTGAAGAGCTATAATGGTTCATCTCTAAATACAAATAAATGTTTTATTCACAAGCATGAAATCTTTCGACAAAAATCTCTGAAACTATGTTTAATCGTAAATGATCCGGCTCAACTATTATTGGCAATCGAAGTATAATATCAGACATTTTTATCATTATTGTTTATTTCGAAACACCTTTGAGTTACGAAACTTTGTTTCACTTTTTTATTTACAACCCTGTTTCATTGATCTTCTAATTATTGTTTTTTATGTAAGATCCTACGCAAAAGAATTGCACGCTTTTCCTCTTGACAAAGTTCGATATAAGCTGACAGAATTTCATTTTTTTATTCCTCTTTACCTTTCATAGTTCTCTATCACAAGAGAGTTGAACCGATATTCTATCGTTGATAGCTTATCTGTAAGCCGAACCTTACCTTTCACGTGAATTCACGGAATGAAGAAAAAAGAGCAAATATTTTCTGGTGAAAGTTGGAGAAGATTCAAGGTAGAATTCTTTGCTTCTTTTCAACCAAGAACCGTTGGTGAAATCGAGGTCCACTTTATTCTCATATTTTATTTTATTTTCTTCACACGGCGTAAAATGGCCATAAATATCTTATCTTTGTTTCAATGATGGAAAGTTTAGCTATATTTTTCGAATTCCTCCTATTTCAAAACTGATAAGTTCCTTTCATGGTTTTATTAAATATTTTAGAACGATTTTTCTCTCTTCATTAGATTATTTTATCACTGTTTTATACTTACAGTGATGGAAAACAATGTACTTTTATTCCATAAAATATCGATTTTCAGTAATTTATCCTTCAAATATAAAGAATTCTATTTTTCTTCGACATGATTTTACAATAATATTCCTCGATTTCCATGATGTCTTGCGAGATATAACATACTTCAGGAATGGATGAGAAATATCTGCACCAAAGTACAATAAAAATTGACTAGTTCAATTCTTTTTCCTTGCGAAGAGAACTTTTTTATATAACAGTCGAAGCCCTCTTTGTCTGCTAACTATCAATACATTCAGTCTAGAGATATACAATTATCATACTTGATGAAAGAAACAATGGCCTATATAACTTTACATTTCACTATAGTCTTATCCCAAAAAAATTACAATGATACACACATATTACAGAGTAACAGTTCGTTGCTAAAAATGATTTTATCAACAAAATGTAATGAAAAACGTATCCTGCAACTGAGAGATATACTACCATGTTATTTTTTATATAGAACGTTGCTCTGGTAGGTCGATATTGTCATCAACCCACACGTTTTCGTCATCGCAACATGTATTTGATCGAATTTGATCATTTACCTCTTGGTAAGTTGTAATAAGCAACTTTTCTCGTCAGGGTCCACGATCCGACATTTTCTCTGTGCTTATATATTGCATTTTTTTCGTTCTGTCTTTTCTTTTCATTTATCAAAGATATACTTCACAATGCCTATATTTCGACTCTTCTTCTCACTATCTCTGTGTATTTTTCTTTGCCAGTTGAGCACCCTTCTTCGGTTATTACAAGCTGTGCTTTACGAATGGCACCCTTCTTACATGGCGTGTGTAAAGACGAAGCAGATGTCGTGCTCTACATACTACAGAGAAAAGTTGCTTATTTACAACTTACCAAGAGGTAAATGATCAACTTTGATCAAATACATGTTGCGATGACGAAAATGAGTGGGTTGATGGTAACATTGACCTGCCAGAGCAACATTCTTCTATCAAAAACAAAAACCCAGGAGAGTGACATGTATGCTTATGCACATAAATACAGACAAAAATTACTTTGCAGCACATAATTGAATCGATAGTAGGTGAAAATTTTAGAAACTTTTTCGACCTAATGTTGAATGACAAGAAACTGTAAGTTTTTGTGTTTTAGAAATCGACTAACATGTTAACACAAAATTTTATGCAGACGATTATAGCGTTGATTGTTAGAATTAATATCAAGTATATGTTGAAACGAAAGCTGGTTGACTATGTTTGCATTCGTATACAAAACTCGATGGAGATACACAGTGTTCCACGGAAGAATTTATTTATTTCGCATAATTTTTCTGCTTTGATACAACCTATTTTCTCAGTGACTTTTTTGTGAAAGATGAAGCTTAGAAATATTCATAGGACACATATATTTACATTTTGAAAATATTTCACTATCACTCGAAA